ATAATTTGTTGTCCGCCATCTTGGATTATTTTTTATCTCATTATCGGTGATTTTAGTGACGTCATAAGCAGGGTTAGCCATATAAAACTACATCAAAATGGCCAAATAACATTAAGTCTTGTTTGAAAAATCGTCAGACAGTTTTTTATTTCAAATAGTTACTGAAGTATATGATTTTCGGCTCATAATAACCAATTGCTCTATGGATAAAATTCTTGCGTGACCCTGCTTATGATGTCATATGCGCATATCCGCCAAAATCCAAGATGGCGGAAAGCTTACTGATTTGTGATTTTTTCTGTTCAAATATCTCAAGAAATAATAAAGTTTCGCAAAATCGGTAAAGAGATTAACATATAATTTTAAAAGTTCTTCCAAATGAAATAATAAAAAAATATATTGCCGTATCCCTTTAAAAAAACCAAGAAACAAATTCCATGAAAAAAATATTAGTTATAATAGAGCAATAGCGTGAAACAATTTGTCAAATAATGTAAAAGTAATAGATATGTCAATTGGTCAATTTAAGGCCGCTCTCGACCGCAAATAATACGTGATTCTCTTCTGTAAATACTTTTCCATATTTGATAAATTTCCTATGATGTTAATTAAGTTACTTTGTTATTATTCTGTAAATATCTTTTTATTTGACAACATTTCCTGCATATTAAATCCTAATCACGTTGTTGTGATTTTGTAAATAATGTATATTTTTATTTAATATTTTGCAAATATTTTAAGCGGCCCCTTGGAAACCAACCAAGAGTTAATAATATTAATAATAATAATAAATATTCTTGGGAAAATAAAATTATTAAAATTGTGTAAAACAACGGCCCGAACTAAGATTGTGGACGACTGTTCACAATACTATTTTATTAACCTGATTGCTACCAACATTATGTACCTGTTTTCTTCTGTTTCGAGGCTTCTTCTTCCTTTACACCTTGTCTTGGGTCCATTATCTCCTTGCCGTGTTTCTTGTTATGCGCGTGAAGACTAGCCTTTGAATCCGAAGACGAGATTTCTGGCTCTGGAGCAAAATATTTAAAAAGAAGTATTCAAAAGTAGAATTTCGACGTCATTAGAAAATGTTTGAAATGGGGCTATACTGCATGTGTTAGGAGGAAAGTAATTTTACGTTTCATTAAGGATTAATTCTGGTTTTTTTACTCATCGTCAAAGCCAACTCGCAAGCTGGCAGGGAGCGTTTGTATCTTATTACAACAACCTGTGGCGGATTGTTTTTGGGCGAACACGCCAACTACTTTGTCCAATATTATAATGTTCGATAGTTCACTTTAGTTAGATACAAGTACTCGCAGCAAGCTGGTGTGGATTTTCCCTCCAGTAGAAAAACGTCGTTAGGTTGTATACGCACCTGTTCGTTCATAGAAGGCATGATTTGCCGTCATGGTGTGATAGTACTCTCCTCTGGCCGAGCAGAATCAAGCAAAAACACGCGGCGTACTCTAGAGAGTATGTATCAAACCAGTTGTAATACGTATCGTCTTCATTGATCGTTTTCTTGTTTTTGTCTGTGCCTAATTCACCATTTGTTCGGTCCATCTGCATCTTTTTCAATCTGCTGATAGGAGTGGAAATACCTGGAGGAACGAGTAAAGTTATTTTTGTGATTCTCGCGTACAATTATTGAACGGTGAACAGTTTTTTCGTAGTTGAACTTATTTAGTTTGCTGACATCACTCTAATACAGACACCTTTCCAAGACGGGCATTTATCTAAAACTTTAATTTAAAGTAAAACTTCGATGTTTCGAGCAAATCGCCTCCCAGTAACTTTCCCACGTATGGCCTTTGCTAGAAATGTCGAATATGTCCTTGTATTTATATATTACCTCTTATATTACATTTATAATACGACGGACCACGTTCTAATACGATCACCTCTCCAATACTGACATATCTCTACTACGGACATCTCTCTATAAAATCATGTATCTAACACGGCCATTTATCTTGTTTCAAGCTCGACTAATACGGACATCTCTCGAATACAATAATAATAATAATATTTAGTATTTCTATTGCGCGATTTTACATATGTTATATGATCAAGTGCGCAGTACAATTACAGCCGAAACTGTCGTGACGCAGACCGAGGTAGACGAGGTAGACAAGGTAGACGAGGTAGGCGGCAGACCGAGGTGTGAGCTTACAAATGTCGCTTTAAGCTGCAGCCGCTATTAGTCCATACCTCTTTAACGATCTGCCGCCGAACCTATATATGCCTAACCCACCCTGTCAACTTCCCCTGTGGAGGAAACCGGAGTACACGGAGAAAACCCACGACCTTCGGCAGAGCGTTGATTTTTAATCTTTTCACATCAGGACTGGGTTCGAGTCACATTGAGAAATTCGCATTGAGATTTGAACCTGCGACCTTTGAGGTGTAAGGCAAGCGCGCTAACCACTTGGCCAATACAGACATCTCCGTAGTAATTATCGACAACTCCCTAATACATATATTTTTATTATTAACATGACAAAATTACTGGATGCTGATTGGTTGAGAGGAGTACAATTATTCCATTATTTGTACTGCAGTACAATTAATGATTTTCCCAAAAGAAACAAAATGGCGGAAAGGTAATTTAAACACAAGCGTGAAATGAAATTGCCGTGGAGGAACTAGATGAAAACACGAACAAAAGCACCAAATTTTGCTTGAACAAAAGAACTAAATCAAAATTCAAACAAAAGCACCAAATTTTGGTTGAAAGTCTGGCAGGACTGGGCTTTGGCGAGAGAATATGATGCTGACATTGAGAAGTACGCATCCAATTTTGTCATGGTAATAATAATGCGATGTTGCTCGTACGATTAACAATTATTATTACTCGTGATGTTCGGAAATTTGCCAAATTGGACTCGCCCCGGCGGCTCGTCCAATTTTGGCAAAATTTCCAAACATCAATCGTACTATTAATCCCTAATTCTACTCGCCATCGCACGATTACCTATACTAATATGGACATTTCTAGGTCGGAAACCAAAACATATCTCTAATGCGGACAATTTTCTAATTCGGACATCTCTACATACAGACATCTCTCCACACGGATATTTCTCTAATACGGACATCTCTCTAATATGGTCACCTCCATAATGCGAACATCTTTTTAAGTGTTAGAAAGTCGACTAGTTACTGTAAAGGCTCAGTGGCGTAGCCAGCCCGCCGATTTGGTCCCTCCAAGCAAATTTCAAATCATCATTATTCATATCTTTAGAAATTGATTGTTTTCACTGCCAATGAACACGAAAATATTTGCATAGCGGGACTAAATCGGCGGGCTGGCTGCGCTATCCTATAAGCTTCGGTGGCGAAGTGGTTAGCACTTTCCTTTCATCTATAAGGCCGCAAGTACAAGCCTCAGTGAGAACTTTCTCAATGCGACTCGAATCCAGTCTTCATGTGAAAAGAGTAAACTGTCAACGCTCTGCCGAAAGCCGTTTGTATTCTCCGGGTTCTCCGGTTTCTTCCTACGGACATCTCTTTAAATTAATATGTACATTTCTATCTCTGAAACTGACATATCTTTAATGCGGACATACTCTAATACCAACGCCCCTTCGATGCGAACATCGTCTTAATTAAATATGAACATCTCTCTAATACGGATATCTCTCGAACAGATTGCTCTCTAATATGGAGATCTCTTAAATACGGGGACGCCTGTAGATCTGATCACGAATTGACGTGACGCGCTGGTGCAGGAGGGCGCGAGCTTCAGCGCTCCACGTTTAAAAGCAAAATTTTACCGCTGCCTTTGAGAAATTTGCCATAAATATTTGCTGGAATATATTATAGAAATTTGCCATAAATTTTTAAAAACAGATCTACCTGGAAAGCATAAAGGATTTGTGAAATTTGTACAGAAATGTCTGGATTTTTGAGGCGAAAGTTTGTTTCGTGGCTACGATTTGTGACTTTTAGTTTGGAAATTCAGTTGCGACCGTTAGGAAATCCCGCAAGCATACGGCGCGTGCGATGTTAATTTTGATGTTAATTTGTTATGTACCTGGTCAATGTCACGTAATTGTCCTTGTCATCGAATTTCACTGTCTTATGTTTTTTGTATTGTAATTTATTGTTTTGTACTTTTGTTTTGTTACTTGTAAGAATTGTTGACACTGTCACGTATATTCGGAGAGGTGCCTCGCACGGGTAGTTTTCTTTTGTTGTTTTTTATAAACATCTCGTTTGCACCTCCACTATTTGGGCTGATTTTTTTTTGTTTTAAACTAACATTATTTAATAAGAAAAAGAAACAATACAGCATCCTTGTATGAGAATCCCCGACAATTTTTGGTGGCTGTAAAACACTCAACGGGAAACCGAAAGAATAACAATTTCCTGAAAACTGAAGACTTACTTACAATGGACAAGTTTGAGATGACAAAAACTTTAAATCCCTTCCTTCATTCTGTCTTCAACTGTAAGAGCTCGGAATCGGTCCTCCTAAAAAATGCCCGATATAATAAATCTCCTTCACCCTCAACGTCATCAATGCCCGAGCTTTCCAGTATCCAAATCTTGGAAATTGAAGTTATTGGAGTTCTTCGCAATCTAAATTCACGAAAGGCGACCGGTCCAGATAACATTCCGACTAAACTGCTGATCGAACTTAAGGACGTAACTGCAGCTTCGTTATGTAAAATATTTAACATGTCATTGGATCTTGGTGTAGTACCTCTTGAATAGAAAACGGCGAACATTACACCCGTATTCAAAGGCGAAGACCCAACGCTGGCAATTAACTACAGGACAATCTCACTACTTTGTACTTTGTCGAAAGTCCTAAAACGTTGCGTTCACAATCATTCCTACCAGAATCTCGAGCCACACATTTATCAAATACAGCATGATTTTATATGAAGTAAATCCACAACCACATTGAATTCTGGAAACAGTGGCAAGTGGGAATGAAGTTGATGCCATATACCTGGACTTTTCAAAGGCATTTGACAAAGTACCACATCATCTTCTGTTGCGAAAGCTTGAGACTTTGGGAATCACGGATCTCTATTACCTTTTTTCCAAAGCTACCTCACAGACAGACGCAAAGAGTTGTTCTCCACGATATTCGCTCTAAATGGCTTCCCGTAACACCAGGTGAGCCACAAGGTTCTATACTCGGACCCTCGCTATTCATTGTTTATTGTAACAACATTCCATCCTACAATTAAAAAATTCCACACTTGCGTTATTTGGGGACGATTCAAAACTTTACCGACCACTTTTGTTTCCCACATTTTCTGCTTCACTTCAACTTGATCTCTCCAATATATCAAAGTAGACTGCTGATAATCAAATGGAACTAAACGCAACAAAGTGTAAGACCATGCACATCACAAGAAGAAGAGCACCTACGCGAACTCAGTATTCAATCCAACGTACTCGAACGAGTGTCGAACTTGAAGGATCTTGCTGTGCTCATATCCAACAACTTATCTTGGTCGAAACACATGGAAAGCGTTGCCTAATCAAAGGATAATAAAACACTTGGTGCCATCAAAAGGATTTCTAAAGAAGGGAAGAATACCAACACAAGAAGAATTATGTATTGTGTACTGGTAAGACCCAAGCTAGAATATGCAAACAGCATCTGGTCGCCTTATACCATTAAGAATCGTTTGCTCATTGAGAATGTTCAACGGCGCGACACAAAAGTGATCTTCAATTATCCTGACAACATGCCGTCAGTGGACAGGTTGCGGAAAACAAATCTACTACCACTTGACTTCCGAAGTGAAATTTCTGATCCGATACTGCTGTTCAAATCAAAGCACTACCTCATAACAATGAATATAAATAAATATTTATGGACTTACAACCCTGGCTATCAATTTCGCAACTATGACGAAAATAACTTCCACCTCATTATAAAACATAATCAGGAATACTTTCAAAACTCTTACTTTACCATATCAGCAAAACTCTGGAACGGCCTGCTGACCCAAATTTAAGAAATGCAGTAGTTTATGTTCGTTTGAAACTTGTTTAAATAACTTATATAGTATCAAGTCAAAAACATAAAAACTTCCTAATAATCATAGCTATTATTTAGTTTTGTGAAGAAAATATTTGTAATATAAGTACTAAGTATTTAGTTCAGTAAAGTTCACTCACTAGCTCAGTGTACGAACGACCGTAAATCGGTTAGAATTTATATAATGATCAATGTCAGACTAGTGTTAAGCTTCGTTTGCTCTCACACCAAGAAAGTGCGTATGTAATTATGTATAGACAGCACTGTCATATGGGGTGAGATAATAATTGGGACGTAAATCCTGTTCCATATTCCAGTCACGTGTGTTGTCTTGTAGCATGTTATATATATTGTTTATCAGAGTCATTGTAAATATTTGTGACAAGTTTAATAATAATAATAACCGGTGACTATTGAGTGACCAAATATTGTCAGCCTAATCCACTTATTTCACTTATCCATGGTGCACTACTTTTGATTGCAAAACACGTACATTACATGATTTACCAGCAACTAAATAAACTTGAATACATTGACCGAATGTATCAAACACAATGTCAATGCCTGTTGGCGAGTTAATGCGATTTTAAGCGATTTTAGGCGACTTAAGAGAAATTTGACAATTTTAGCCCGCAATCTATTGCGATTTTAGACGATTTAATTCGAGTTTAGATCCCAGAGTAGGCCTAAAAATGCAGTTGATATCGTAGGTCCGATAGATAATACGTACTTAGTAACCTATTACGACTATCTCTCTTCTTTTCCTGAAGTGGCTATTTCTCGAGACATAAACTCAAAAAGTGTTGCGTTTGAAAGCGAGAGCCGCTAGAGGATTGGGGTGAAATAAACGAAAACAAAGATGGCGTCCAACACAAAGTGATATTAAAGTAAAGAAACAAATTATTGAGATTTTATTGTTGAAGATAGGTAAGAAACGATTCTATAAACCTAATTTTCGCCATTTTGAACTATATTGCTTTAGATATATGTCGTAAACATTGTCTATATTGTATTGTGTTGCTTCAGATTCTGGTATCACATTTATGTATTATTAAATTGATCACTAAATCCTGAAATGTTGCGTTCGTCGTCGTGTCTAATCTTGAACTAAGGAAACATCATGTGAAGATTTCCATGCTACTGTATTTCAAAGGTTTACCAGTGGAAATTTATGTGGATTTATTTTGCTATTAATGTTTGAATAATACCGTATTTGTTTATACAATGTTGGAGACAAACGAACAATTGGAAAAGGCCAAGAATATTCGCCGTGCCGCTAAAGGAAAGATAACTCGAGTTATTAGAACTGCGAAGGTTTTAGTTAGAGCTGAACGGCCAGTTCAGGAAATTGAGGATATGTGAAAGGAAATAAAGGATTCATATGCAGCTTTAATAGTCAAATATGAAGAATATGCTATCTTTTTGAATGATGAAGAAATTGACGAAGCCGAGACCTGTTTAAATGAATGTTCAAATGAGTACACACAGCTTTCTATTGTTATCAATGATTATATCAAATTAAAGACCAGTCAGACAAAAGTAAAAGAAGAAGTAAGTGCAGCCAGCATTGAAATAAATAATCAGCCTAGCACTCAGCCTTCCAGCGACAATGTATTCTCAAGTGAATCTCAATCGACTGCAACTGGAAATACGGGTGAAATAGATGTCCCCCCTATAACAATGCCCTCAAAGTCATTGTATGTAAAGCATGAAAAACCAATATTGCCAACCTTTTATGGAGACGTTAGAAAATATTTCATATTCAAGTCTGATTTCCAACACGCCATTGAACATTACCGTTCCGAAAGAGATGCTATCGCTTTTCTTCGGTCATCTTTGGGCCCTGAACCAGCTATACTCATAGAAAGAATAACAACTGATCTCAAAACTGCATGGAAATATCTGGAGCACAACTATGGAGATCTTAGAATCATCTCGGATACAATTAGTGCAGACCTTGAGAAATTTAAACCCTTACAGTCACACGATGATCAACCAGTGATTTGGTCAACCTTGTTCCAAAGTCGAACAAGTTGTTAAAACGGCCTCAAGATATGGACAAAACCCTCATAATTTCTTTGATTGAGCGAAAAATGACCCTTGATGATCTGAAAGTCTGGTCTCGCCATATTTACGTGCAAGAAAAGGAACCTTCACTAGATAATTTGTTGGTATGGATGGAAAAAAATGACTGTACGATTACGTTCGGGTGCTACAATCAGAAAAAGCAGCAGTTCCTATCGACATGGTGTCCACGCTGTAGGTGGTGGAAATAATAGTCAATATTCAGGATCATATAAAGGTAACAATGCTAACTCGTCAATGTCGGACAGCCCAAAGACACAATGTTATGTTTGCAAAGACATTCACTATGTTAATCAATGCCCTCATTTTAAATCTAAGACACCCATGGAACGATGGTAAATTGTTAAGGAGCAGAAGGCATGCTTTAGTTGTCTTAAATTAAGCGAAGTATAGGTCATACAGCCTCAAACTGTCTGCGAAAAAAGGAATGTCAGGAAGAAAACCATGACGTTTCCAGTTGTAAGAAACCACACCACATGCTTCTCCATGGCAACACAAGTCCTGATCCCAGAAATGTTGCTGGATCCATACAAAACAACAGCGAAGCCGTTCTACCCACTATCTCTCCCACAGTAAAAGGTTCCAACAACAAGTGCGGAAAGGCGAGTGTGTTTTATGACAGTGGTGCCAAAATCAGTATGATTAGAGATGACTTTGCTGAAGAACTGCGACTACAAAGCAAGCCTGTAACAATTTTCATTGCCAAAGTAGGAGAGACTGAGCAAGAATTAAATACCAATTTATACAAGGTACCGATTTATACCGCAACTGGACGATCAATTCAAAAAATTGAAGCAATAGGTATTCCCAAATCTCGCACGATACAACCACAAGAAATGTCAACCAAGTGTCAGAAATGTTTGGCCTACCAAAGAATGAATTTCATCGAAAACCAGGACCCATTGACATTTTAATTGAAATAGACTATCAAAGCTTTCATGCAGGTGAAACCAAAGTTAAGAATGGTCTTGCAGCGCGTAAGAGTCCGTTAGGATGGATGATATTTGGAGAAAAGTCCCAGCGTTCACCTCCTGAAGTAAAACAAGTTCTCCATGTTAGATTCGCTCCACCAGTGGACTTAAATGAGTTTCGGACAACTAAATCGATGGGAGTATCTGTGTCACCTTGTACATGCGAAGCAGCAAAAATATCACCACAATAACGGACTGAGATGAAGATAATTGAGGAGTCATGCAGCCTTGAAAATAATAAATGGACAATGAAGTACCCTTAGAAAAGAGATCCAAAAGAATTGCCCGACAACTATACCCATAGTCCGAAGAATGGAAAGCACTGAGAGACGGCTGCTTTCACATCCAGATCATGCAGAGAGCTTTAACAGTCAAATGAAAGAGATGGAAGACATGATGTTTTCTAGAAAGCTGACAAAGAAAGAAATAGAAGAATGGAAGGAACCTGTGCACTACATTTCCCACCACGCTGTCATTCGTCCTGAGAAAAGAAGTACACCCGTGAAGATCGTGTTTAACAGTTCAGCAACATACGAAGGCCATACCCTCAACGACTACTGGTACAAAGGACCCGATTTGTTGAAAAAATCATTTGGAGTCATTCTCCATGTTACACATGGTGTTAATTCCATTAGCAGATCAACATGTCCACCGATTTGTGTGGCCCCTTACGAAAATATTCCATAGAATATTACATTGAAATATTCTATGGAATATTATATGAAATATTCTAAAGGATTTTGTAACCTATTCTATGGCATATTCTATGGGATAGTCTATGGGATATTCTAATGGATATTCATTTGAATTCTATAGAATATTCTATGAAATATTCTAAAGGATTTTGGAACCTATTCTATGGGATATTCTATGCAATATTCTATTGGACATTCAGTTGAATTCTATACTATATTCTATAGAATGCCCTATAAAAAATTCTATAGAAAGTTCTAGAATATTATATGGAATATTCTACTGAATATTCTATGGAACATTCAGTTGAATTCTATACAATATTCTATAGAAGGTATGGAATATTTTATATAACATTCTGTATTAGATTCTATAAGATTTATAAAAGTTTCTATTAAGAAACATTTATTAAAACACAATTACCATTGTATAAAGAACTTGTTTAATTATTAACTAAACATTAGTAAAACAGCTAGTTAACCATTATCAGAATTATATGTTTATAGCTACCATTGAACTACAGTAGGAAATGGGTATTTAAAAACTAGTCAGCAGCTGCAAGATACAACTGCCTCATGCCTGGAAACAATTATAGCAATTTTATTTGGTGGAGAATATCACTTACATAAACTTTGCAGCAAAGATTTCAATGTGCCTGGATTTCAATATTAAGTATGTATAAACAGATGTAAATATCCAGGCTTAAATTAAAATTAAGTGCTGCCAACAGAACCAATGTACGTGGCATATTGTCCACAAAACAAAACAACTATGCAAGAATTTAAAAATAAACATTGGGCTAGTCAAACTGTTGTAGGATTACTCTATTTAGTGAATATTTTTATTAGAATAAGTGTCAATGTTACTGTTATGTGTAGATACTTTCTTTTTTTCACAATATTGTTAATCCTTGTGTTCATCTTTGTTAATCCTTGTGGTCATCATTGATGCATATGGTCTTGAAGAAGAACACTGGCCATTTTGCAAGAGTTGTAATTGCTCTTCCAAGTTGGAAACAATATCTGTTAGGCATGGCATTACTATACAAAAATGAAAAATAAGTAAATGTTATTTACTCTGTCTAACACCAGACAACTTTACTCTTCAAGGGGATAGCAGTTTTGCTCAATGGATTAACCCTTTCATGCACCCCATATGCCCAACTTTAGTATTTACTGTCTAACGCTCACTCTATCTCATCGTCTGTGTAAATTTAGTATTTACTCTGTCAGACAATGTCACTCATCAAGTGAAGAGTCTTGAACATTAATGGGTTAACAAGACATCTGCCATTATGTCCTGTTAACCCATAAATACTAAATTTAACATTAAATAAATCTTAATTAACTCAATTAAACACATACCAGTTGCCACTGCCCAGCTTAGGGGTGTTTACAAGATCCAGACTGATTTGTCTGGCTTGGGGGCCACTTTAGCTAGGCCAGTATATAATTTTCTTCATATAAAGCACTAATTAAGAAGACTAGTCTGGCTATAGGCAAGGCTACGATATTCTGTATCAATTGCAATAAACTTGGACAGTGCTATTTTTACCTCACAACACCAGTTTGTCAACTCAATCCAGAAATTTCCAACTGTTGAGAACAATATTTTGAGCCGGGCTATAGCCCAGCTGCAATATTTAATCTAAAAATGTACAAGGACAACATTTGAGGCTTTGTCTCAGCACTAGCTAGTGACTATAGTGCTTATTCCAGCTTTACAAACATATCATTTTATACACCTGAAGCTCATTAACCCATTCCCAAATTTGAATTTTGGGCAAATAATGTGCTGCAATTTGCAGCTTTCAACACACTGAAAATATCACATCAATACTTATATTTCAAGTATTAAAATGATAACATATCTTAATAATATATTTCATATACTTTGACAAAGGTCGTCTAGCAGTGTCAAATTATGCCAAAGGCAAAGACACTTTATATTGTGGATTGTTATAATTAAACAACATTGCGTAATTTAGTATAGAATTCCCAATACTATATATTCGAATTCATATTTTTTTCTTTCTTCCATCGCTAGAAATCGAAATTTTGTATGTTTTTATGCAAATTGACGTGGCAAATTCAAACATTCAACGGAATATTTTCACACATGACTCAAATTCACTACATTATTTCGGAATTAAAGTGCTTAAATAGCATCAAACATGAAAATATTCTTACATGTGAGATCTGAATACCATTTTAAGAACTTTCCAATGCCGTTTCCATCGTTTGGGTTGAAAATATAAGGGAAAATTTCCCTTCAAATCCGTCGATGTGCGAGTAATTTGAAATTGCAATTTTAAAATGACGCTATCCCATGAAGCTTTGCGCCCTCACACGTAAACTAGGTACCAGGCTTCCAGTCAATGCGCGATGAGAAAATCAGAAAACATATTAATATCTCATATGTTTGCGATGTTACTCTGAGTGCATATCCACACCGGGCGAGCTTGAAAAATATGCCCGGGCACGGTGGGATTCGAACCTACGACCTTTGGAATACTAGCCCAATGCTCTTCCAACTGAGCTACGCGGTCAGGACGGTTCGAGTAAGTGATATTTCGGAACAGTATCTAGTTCCTTCAATACCAATGTGTTCTAGTAATATGAGTTTTTCTGTGTTGGTGTTGTGTACTCAGGTCAATAATCTGTTTGCGATGTTACTCTGAGTGCATATCCAC